GGCGAAGCGTTACCGACTCATGGTAGATGTCCCACCCACACGCATTAAGCGCTTCGCATCAAGCTTCCTTGTGCGTACTGCTAAGGATTGGAATTCTTTGCCATAGTCTGTATTACCTGAAGAGTATAACTTGGGCGTCTTCAACGCCCGACGAAATAGGTTGCTTAAGGGACGACGTGATCCATTGTAGATTGCATCATCACTTACCACCAGGCGAGATAGTGATTAAACGTCGGCCCATCAAATATAAAAAAGATAGTTGACAAAATCTTCACGCTTGTTACAACGCATAGGAGTTGGGGTTCATTGAGTTGGAACTCCAACGACCGAGGACCAGTGTCCTCTGACATATCAGAGGACACTGGTCCTCGGTCTCTGTTAAGTATGTAATCTTCTAGTGGACCCATACGATTTCCACTGAAAGAGTAGGGGTGGTGAGAGATTCAACTCTGACGTCACAACATGGCGTACTTGTTGAGACATGTTAAAAGAGAAAGCTAAGGAAAGGTCCGTTTATTCACTTGACAGTGCAATGCATCACTTTAATGCACTCTGGAGCAATTCAGTGCTTGGTGAAATTGCATCATTTATAGTTTGAAATGATAAAAGTAAAAGGTTTTAATTGAGTCTATATGAATGAGGTTATGGTTGTTATAAGAGAGATCAGCGGACAAGGAAGGTATGGTAAAAAGCGAGCGATTTTTGTAAAGGTTCATCCTCTGTACTTTTTTGTAGGATAAACCGGTAAACGAGCAGATGGATCACCTGATGATAAGTAACCGGCGTCACTTATGGATACCCGGAATACCAAAGGCGTTACAAATGCGTTACCGGCCTTTTTGGGACTAGGAATTTGAGGATTGCTGTGGATTTAGAGATTAGGGAGACTGGGGAGTATTAATTGGGCCTCCAGTAACCTCACTTACACGACGAAACACAACAACAAGCGTTGTTTCACGTCGGTTTTTTGCTAGGCCATGGTATCACGCCCATTTGTGTAGAAGCATGGCTCGGAACACTTATACTTTTAGATTATGTTTGTATTAGTTTACCTTCTGTAAAACTAAAGTTAGAGTACAGAATCATCTAATTGTTTTGTAATAAACATCGATATGATAATAATCCGATAAATCTCTTCGTCATCATGTAATGAAGTAGTAAATTAATGAGTATTTTAACACTACAAAATTCCTTTAGTCATAGTCAGGTGTCGAGATCAGTTACTATTTAGCATGTCTATTTTTAATCCTACAGAACCCAGACTACTGTTGAGATTGAGTTGTAACATTTTGTTGTTATGTATCGCGTTCGTGTAACAGAAACCAAAGATTGACTTGTAACGTTGCCTTTGAGTGTTGCATTACAAGTCAGTGCACTTTGCATCCTCACGAGACTAATTGTTCGCGTCGAAATCCATCTTATTTGAGAACTAACTTGAGCCAATAAACGCGCGTTACAAATTAGTTTGTCTCGCCGTATTGTAACAAGATCGCCTCAAATAATACATTACAAACAAATGTTACAAGTCAGTGTCAACAAAAACACACTTGCCACTGTAACATGTACTTAATTTGTAACACATATATGAAAAGTTTGAGAACCACATATAGGGCATACGCCTACCGTTGGGCACAAGTATGGTCGTGATAATTGACCACTATTTACATAATTGGCATATTCGTATTCGTGGGCACTTGTATTAAGTTGCTAGACGAATATGACACTTCGTGGTAGTGTTATAATTTAGTTATTTTTGTTCATACTTTGTAGCGTTTTTATAGATAGATTTTCAGTCTTATAACGAAGGTGTAGGGTCGAAATTGTGTTAAAGGGATTTGATTGGATGGGTTAGCTTGAAGTGTTGTGTTATCGGTGTGTGAATAAGTCTGACAGTTTCTGTTTGACAAATGCATTCAAGAGAGATTTCTCTGAATTTTTTGGACGTAGGAGGTGAGTACATTTTATCATTTATCTTCCATCAACTAAAACAACTATATCTGGATCTATAAACATTAAGTACTAGTAGAATGAAAGACAAAAGTTTTTAGAAGTTTAATTTATTTACAGACAGGACCCGTAACTTTGTACCGCCAAATTTTTTATTGAATTTGACTAATTGTCAAATACCGTATTCCAGACTAGCTATTAATATAAATGTAAAAAAAAATCTGAAGGAAATATTTACTTTAAAAACCTGCAACTTCAAATGTTCCTGAGAATTTTTCCTTTGAATGACGGTTCAAATACTTCAAAGCGAAAAAACAGGAAAACCGGTGCATTCTTGTTTGACATACATTCAGGAAATTATTTTCATTTCGCGATAGTTTTCCCGCAAGTGTAAATTGTACCATTTTTGAAGTTTTGCAGCTGGTTCGAAAATAACTATTATGTTTAATGGCTACAAGATTTGATTTAAAAATGTAAAGTTGAGTCGTTTTTAGTAACCGCTTAGAAAGGACGTATCCTGTAAAGTCAAAGTCAAAGTCAAAATCAAATATTTCAAGTAGACCAGGAAGGCATTTTGAACGTCAAAACAAAATATTGAAATTATGACTTTCGTGAGACATACTAATTTAATAATAACAGTAGCAGCGTGACAGTTGCCGCGTCGCGGGTCGCAGAATGCTACTCTTCTCATGAATATGAGCCCCTAGCATGGCTTGAAACTAGTTGAGTTCCTCGTCAAGTAGTTGCTTGAGTGAGCTGAAAACATAATGATTAAGTAGTAGTATTTTAAAAATGTCAGTCAGTCGTCTAGTGAAGCTATTGGCACGCCCCAAAGTATAGATTCCTATGGAGAAGAAACAAGAAACTTAGTACGATTTCAGAGTTCATTTCGATTTACAAAATTTATGTTACAGACTGTGAAATTATTGCTTTCAGTGTCAGGTGTTTGAACTTGTACTTGCTACTGGTGCATAGTGATTTTCAGGTACATCTATGTAGTAGACGTTCAGATCTATTATCGTACTCATCACAATGACTAAAGATTCAAATCGATATTGTCTACGTGCTCTAGTTGTCTGATAAATCAAAGATTTATACAGCTGTTAAAGCCACACACATCACATATTGTTTTGTGGGTTTAAAAGATTAAATAAGATATTAAACGTACTATGTACTTGGCAACAAATAACAATAGTTATAATGAACAAATAATGCCACCATCTTTAAGCCAAAGATACACTAGAAACACTACAAATGTCCCACGACATGTATCGGCGACTTGTCAAGCGAAGCCTGCCGATTTCGCCCGACATATTATGAGGCGACAACGCGCGCCTTATGTCCACAGCGACGTTGAAGTTTTTATAATAACTATCGTGAGACATACTAAAATATACCTATCAGTAGGCTGCTCGACATCGCCGCGACCGCGCACGCTGCTTATGAGGAAGAACCCCTCTGTGGTTCGAAACTAGTAGAGCTTTTCTCAGTATATCCAAGTGAGTAAACCGCGATTTTTTGAAAATTTAGCGACGTTGATGTTGCTAGACATGTCGACCAAAGTCCGGCAACGTCGCGACACGTGTCGCAAGACATTTGTCCCTTAGTGTATCCTTGGGTTTATTTCATCATTAGCAATCAATATCATCAACAACAGCCTATAAATGCCCACACGGAAAAGGTTTGAGCATTAATTACCACGCTTGCTCAATGCGGGTTGGCGATTACAAACTTATAATTAAAAATTATAAGACTAAGTTTCCTCATAATATTTTGCTTCACCATTTGTCAGTCTTAGAAAGTACATATAACTCGGAAAAAGTCACATTGGTACCTGCCGTTGGTAGGTTTCGAACCCGCATCCTCATGCATGAAAGCTGGGTGTCTTAAACCTCGGGGCCACCACGACTTTGATCATTAGCATACAATTAAAAAACTACAGCAATGTACATACAAGCGTTTTGATAATAAAATATTGGTAAAACTATTATATTTATCGTGAAGTCAATAAAACGTAAGTAGCGTAATAAATATAGTATTGTTTATAATTAGGTGCGCCTTCTTACTTTAATAGTGTAATAAAAGATTAAAGCAAACTTTTCGATGATCTACTACTAATGACGTCATCAACTAACTAAAGCTTCGCCTGAATACAAAACGCGTATTATTATCCACATTAGGACAACACATCAAATAAAACGTATAATTAAATAATAACACGCTCTGTGATCTTTGTGCAATCTTTTCCGTGATACAAAATGTGTGTCACGTAAAATTAGTAACATTTTAATAATGTCATAAGACGCATAGAAACGCCAGGTGTAGGTACACGAGATTGTTTGTTTAACACAATTAGAGTTTCGCACGTGTATTCTAATTATAGAATGTGTTCCGAACGCTTCTCACTGTCCATCACTCGAAATCAGGCAATGTCTGGTTCGTATTAACATAGTGCTGCCCTATGGAAAGTTAAACACCTGTGCATCGCTCTAAAAAATATGCATTCCGATTTTTTCATTTAATCACATCTAAATCTATAAACGTATTTCTTAAATCTATTTATGATACCATTAAACTGACATTGGCTGCATTAATAGCTGCAAAACTGGATTATTAAGAGGTTCATAATTTAATTAATGCACCAAAAGAGATAATTTAGTGGTTCGCCCACACACATCGTTAATATAACAAATTCATATCCCCACCTTCATATCACTAATCACGCGAAGCCTAATCTGCTAAAATCTTAGCCAAAATAGCGCGAAAATCGTTTGGCGGTGCGCGTGCGGCGGGGTGGGCTCAGGTGAGCGTCAGTCCGCGCCGCGATCTCCCACCGACAGGGATCCACGCACGCCACGCCGCGAAATTTCGGAACTGTTTAGAAAAATCGAAAGCATTTCGTTCTCTACACAGAAAAATAACATAAAAAAATCGAGTCGTTTAGAGAATAGAAATGGGCGGAGTTTTGGGTTAGAGGGTTTTTTTTTGGGTGATTTTTGGTTGTTGAGAGATGGTTACAGCGGAGGTGTTGGGGCAGTGATGTCCGTCGAGAGATGCGGCCTGTTGTCATCGCCGCCTGCTTGCTGCTGCTCGCGCCCATCACCGACTCTTGGTGGTGAGTACTTGAAAAGCTCTCTGGAGAACAAATTCACTGATATAAAATTCACTATAGTAAAGTAAACATAACCAAACTGACAGATGGTTCACCAGTACCTAATCTAATATGAATCGTGAGCCTAAACAGCTGATTTTTGTTTATTCAGAGTTTTTGTTGATTCTCGTTTCGATTCTGTAGCGTCTCCGTCGCGCGGATTTTTTGTTTATGTGGAACCAAATGTTTCGATTTAAATCTGGTTAGGAGCCTAATTATTCTGCTCCATCCTTGTGAGTATTTCTTATGTTCACAATTAATTAATTGCTTTAATTAGATTATTTAATTATTTGCTTCTTTAGAACTTCTTCTTCTTATCTTCTTTTTAACGGTAGTAATTATATGTCGAATGTTTTATTCTATAGAAAATAAATGGTTTAATAAATTATTTACTTATTAAAAATTGACAATGGACAATGGAGTCTCTAAACATAATTATTTAACATCATTTTTCAATTTAATATGAAAATTAAGAGTGAAATGAAAGTGAAAACAACGCCTTACTGACTTGATTCTACAGTGAAATATCTTACTGAATATAAATATCAATATTATAATTGAGGAACCTCTTAGGTAACTAATGACTATAATTAAATACATAATGATGTAGCAACATCCTGTACAATATGGGCAACTAAGTAACCAATGTATTTAAATTGTAATGAAAGGGTATCTGATGAAAATTAGCTAATTAAGATTTTAATTACACTTCAATTTACAGTTGCTATAGTCAAAAAGATTAGCCATTTACTATTAAACTGTCAAACACCAAGCGGTCACCGGTGACCGCGACCTATTGTTCTTTAATTGTGTCTATAAAACCGGTACTCGACGAGTTAAAATTCTATTGTTACATTTTTGGCAAGTAGGTACCCAATGGTCTATTTTTTTAATTTAGAAAATGAAATTAAGTTGGTATTTCTGCAGGAAACCAGTACTCAAGGAGCCAGTCTAAAATCCTTGACGCCGGATGCTTTGTAAACACTTTGTCTATCTGTATTGTATTTAATCCAACAAAAAAAGAATGAAATGAAAGTGAAAATGTATCATACCTACATTGAGACTGTTTGAAGACTAAATTTAAAGAAAAACCACTTTATCTTCTATCATAGTTTCTACCAATTGATTACTCAACTTTAACTTTAGAAACTTATAATAATTACGGGAAAGATTTTATTATTTATTAATTCGCATTGAATAGGCTCAGAATGTACTGGGCCGATTAGAAAATTTGTTTTATCATTGGAATGCTTAATTTAAGCACCTAGCTTCATTGACAGTCAGTCGAGCGGACAATTCAATTTTTGACGTTTCAAAAGTGCCTAATAAAGTAATAATTGAAATAAATACTTTGACTTTGACTTTGTAGGGAGTAATAGGCTACTTTTTATCCTAATATTTGTACAGGATCAGGTTAAAGAGAACTCGAAAGCAATCATCTAAATGCTAAGCTGATGAAGCTGTTGGCTGATAGGTAGCCTATTATAAAGCTAGACTATCACTACGGCCACACATCAATTACATGATTTTTGCTGATGAGAAGAATTCCTATTAAGGTAGATGCCTGATTTTTATTTTAATGTCCGTCTGGTAGATTATTTTAAATCATGAGACATGTATTTTTTATTTTCTTACAAAAACGAATACTTTCGACGATATGTTGATTTGAAATGTTGCCTGATGTCACTTCTATGTACATTTTATACGTAGAAATGACGTTTTAGCCCCCACTCCTATACTTTGATTCGTTTTATCTTCGACAAAATAAAAAAATACGTGTCTAATATTTTTTCATTACCTAACTTACGGACTAATTAGATTTTTAATTTTCATACCCTGTCATCATTCCAATTATCTACATTTTATTCTGAAGATAGAGCTCAATGGAGTAGTATTGGAAAAGCCGATGTGAGCAGTGGACGCAAACAAATTGTTGATCATAATTTGAATGCTCTTGGTATCAAGAAGATTTTACATTACGAAGATTCTATATTGAAAAAGTATTTCAATTGTAGGTACGGTTCTTTGTTTTAGTTCCTATGTCAAATAGGTACCCTACTAATGTATTCTATTACCTAATCCTACTAATAGCTTAGTTTGACTCCCTCGTTGGCCGAGTGGTCGCTAGTGCGACTGAAAGGAGTCTCGGGTTCGATTCCTGGGGCTGGCAAAGTATTACTGGGATTTAAAAAAAAATCTCAGTAGTAGCACGGTTTCTGCAAATGTGCCCGGTATATCAATAAGCTCACCCCCTATTCCATGGGACTCATAACATAAATAGTGAAAAGTGGGTATTTCTTCTGTGTGTCTCTGCTTACTCCTTCGGGGATTAAAGGCGTGATGTTATGTTAGCTTAGTTTAAAGTTGTTTTAGACCTGTTTAATGAAGCAAACAGTTTCATTTCATTGGAGTTCTCTCTGGAATGAGTACCTGTTTATAAACAGAAAATAATCCACATTTACTGGCCTGTTCTGAATTGATTGACAGTGAGGTTAACCAAATTACCAGAATGCCCACGTTTTTTAAAGAATCTAGCGGTTACTTATAATAAAATTATAAGACTCTTTGTTCGAAACAAGATAATTATAAAGTTCAGAATTGGAATTGCTAATGGGTTAAAATTTTCAAATTAGAATAGGGTAGTAATATCCTAAATTTTATTTCAATATCCGTCTGATAGATTATTTTAAAACATTAGGCACGTATTTTTAATTTTCTTATAAAATAAAATACTTTCAACGATATATTGATTTGAAATATCGTATGACGTCACGATTAACTGCATTTTATAGGGTAGCGTGACATAACGACCTCCCACTTCTAAATTTAACTTCGTTTTATCTAAGTATTGTTCGCTTATACGACAAAATAAAAAAATATGTGTCTATTATTTTTTCATTATCTAACTGACGAACTAATTACATTTTTAATTTTCATTATACTGTCTACTACTCTATTGTAAGCAGTACATAGAACTACGCACTACAGTGATTGACGCAAGAAGAAATTTTGAAGAATGTAGATAGATTGATACTTATATGTACATTACTACCCTAACCTTTTGAGTACCGTCATTATAGACACAATTAAAGAACAATAGGTGTACGGACACCGGTGTCCTCACGGTGTTTGACAGTTTAAGATTAGACACGATCTTATATTGAAAAGAACTTTGTTCTTTATTTTTTTTTATTTTCACTTTTGTATGTGCCACGACGGACAGATAATACCGGGTGGCATTCTCTAACAGTCAACCACGGGGTGATGCAAAGGTGTGCAACAGTAGATGTATCAGGTATTAAGACTTCTTGAAGAGCTTACATCTTCAAGGACTGAAAATCCAGAGGTTTTAAAGGTGTACTGTACATGCCAAATACAACATTCACCTATTACCAGTTGAGTAACAAAGAAGATTAAAAATTTCACATTACAGACAACCAGTCTTTTGCTAAACATGTTGCAGGTATCTAAAAAACTTTTGTTAATATTAGGCTTAAATGATTTAAATATAATAGACAGACAGCTAACATATTGAATGACAAAATAATGATGATTATAAAATACCAATAGATATATTTCATAGTTTCTTTGAATTTGCATAGATTTATGTTTTAAGTAATAAATGATGAAAGCATATGTTTAATAGACAACTTTCTTAAAGTCAATATGTCATAATAATAAATAATGGGGAGTTTAAACAGCTTTAGAGATCACGTTTGGAACATTACCTACTTATTTTACACGAGTGATAGAATGTATTGAGTCGAGAATAAACGTGTTCATTGTTCATAGAAATTATAGATTTGGTCTGTTATAAATTATATTGGTATTTTATGTGGTAACATTGAAAATGGATTCACGAGGCAAGTAAAGTATGATTGGGCTGTTTTTTCGAGCCTAGGTTATTAAGTGGAACTTATAAAACATAATTACACTAAAACTATAAAGTAAAAGTCGTGGTGGCCCCGAGGTTTAAGACGCCCGTTTCTTATATATGAGAGAGCAGGGTATAAACCTACCTATGGCACTTAATACCAATGTGACTTTTTCCGAGTTAAAATATGTACTTTCTAAGATTACCAAAACCTACATACCCACGGAAACGGAACAGATCGTGAGGAAATTGTGGGGACACATGGTACATGTCAATGGATGATGTCATAAAAATCTTACATCGCACATGCAAAGTTTACGTGAAAATTAACACGGATAGAAAATCCCCACGAACAACTGTAGGGCAGAAAGCCCGCCAGTCACGATCACCTCGCCTGGTCGGAGGATCCTTCTTTTCCGATCTTAGGGAACTATACTCTCTGTTCTCTAAAAATTGTAATTATAAGTTTAAATTCGCCAACCCGCATTGAGAAAGCTTGGTGATGCTCAAACCTTCTCCGTACGAGAAGAGGCTTTTAGACAGCAGTTGCCACTTATAAGCTGTTGATGAATACCATAAATTGGACAGTCTTAAACTGCACATGTGTAGTCTACGTTGCCTGCCTTACCTAGCTCTGTCTGCGAATTACAAGAAGGGATGTCAAATTAATTCAATTTTTAAAATAACCCTAACATTTGGCTGCTCCTTGATAACCATTCATTAATATCAAGGAGCATTAAGGTGTAACCAATCCAGTGTGACCAATCACCTTTTTGTCAACGATCTAGAATAATTGCTTTATCAAATTTATAACTAGGAAGCGATGTCAGATGATTTTCAACGGTCCACACGTCTTTGTGATTCAGTGTCATATAAATATTGTCTGCATCCATCTATCTGTACATGTATAAATAACACATATATGTATTCAAAATGTATGTCCGCAAATAACTCTTAACTAGCTAAACTAAATTTTGTTATTATTTCACACAATTTTTTCCGAAACTATGAAAATAAGAGAGACAAAAATTGGAAAAAAACATCGAAATATCGAGAAAATCAGGGAGTAGCACCTGACCATAGCTAGGTT